GTTGGGGGACTGTTGGGGAAGACCATGATTGGTTTTAAAATGTGAGGACATGGCTCAAGCCTGTAATCCCAGCACTTTGGGAGGCCGAGACGGGCGGATCACAAGGTCAGAGATCGAGACCATCCTGGCGAACACGGTGAAACCCCGTCTCTACTAAAAAATACAAAAAACTAGCCGGGCGAGTGGGCGGGCGCCTGTAGTCCCAGCTACTCAGGAGCTGAGGCAGGAGAATGGCGTAAACCCGGGAGCGGAGCTTGCAGTGAGCTGAGATCCGGCCACTGCACTCCAGCCCGGGCGACAGAGCCAGACTCCGTCTCAAAAAAAAAAAAAAAAAAAAATGTGGAGACATGAGATTTGGAGGAGTTGGGGCAGAATGATAAATGGTTTTGCTGCGTCCCCATTCAAATCTCAACTCGAATTGTATCTCCCAGAATTCCCACATGTTGTTGGGGGGTACCCATGGGGAGGTAATTGAATCATGGAGGCTGGTCTTTGCTGTGCTATTCTCGTGATAGTGAATAAGTCTCATGAGATATGATGGGTTTATCAGGTGTTTCACTTTTGCTTCTCCTCATTTTTCTCTTGCCGCCACCATATAAGAAGTAACTTTCACTTCCACCACGATGCTGAGGCCTTCCCAGCCATGTGGAACTGTAAGTTCAAGTAAACCTCTTTTTCTTCCCAATCTTGGGTCTGTCTTTAACAGCGCGTGAAAACGCGGCTAATACAGTTGTATTCCCTTGTTGAGATGCTGTTTAGTAATATTTCATGTAAGATAAATATCTGCCTATTAATGATATTATGTGCATTCAGCTGCGTAAGTACCTGGACATTATTCTTGGCTATCGTCTGTAGCTGTCCACACTTTATCAATTATCAAGCCTTGTTTTATGTACTTTGGAAATGTATCTTAAAGTTTGTTCATGTATGACCCCTCTTTGGCCTTGCACTTTTCTTTATTTATTACATGGGTATATTGATACAGCCAACTTAATAGGTTTGTTGTGATGATTAAATAACTTACATATAGTATGTAAATTTTACTAATTTTTATTTTTAATATTATTTTTTGAGACAGGGCCTCACCTTGTCACCCAGGCTGGAGTTGGTGGCATGATCTTGGCTCACTGCCGTCTCAGTTTTCTGGGCTCAAGCCATCGTCTCATCTCAGCCCCACAAGTAGCTGAGACTACAGGTGTGCACCACCACACCTGGCTAATACTTTGTATTTTTTGTAGAGATGGGGTTTCACCATGTTGCCCAGGCTGGTCTTCAACTTCTGAGCTCAAGTGATCCTCCCGCCTTGGCCCCCCAAAATGCTGGGATTACAGGTTTGAGCCACCATGTTGGCTTGTTATGTAAATGTTACATATTGCTGTCTAATAATAAACATATTTTACTATTACTGGCTCAGGTCACTATCGTTGCTAAATCGGGATTTCTGGAGTAACTCCAGATTGGTCTCCAGTTTTCCCTTTGCTTAGGTTCCTCCCAGTTCTCAGTCTCCTTCACTTCAGTTTGAGCCGTCTAAGGTGTATGTCTGACTGGATTGCTTTTACTTAAAATTCCCAAGTGGACTCCTTTTTGACATTGGAATAAAATCTGTAAAATGTTTTGTAACATACCTTGAAGACTCCAACCATTTTCTCTAAATATTCTGCCTCTTTGTTTTCAGTTTGTGGGTGCACTGGAACAGTTCTGGTAGGAAATAAACTGTATTGGATGTGACTCTACCAAGACAGATGGACAGTGAAGTGCTTTCTGATTCTTACAGCATGGCCATAATAATCATACTTTGTAACGATTTTAGGGAGATACTAATAGCCAGATACCCATTCTAATTATAAAAATACCTTAATCAGGCATACATAGATGCAAGAGTTTCATGCTGTACTACATGTTTGTATAATCTCCTTGAGAAACTATTTACATTATACTAAATAAGACCACTGAATGAGGTGGTTTGCTTTTGTGAAGTTAGTTAGCCAGTTGGGGAACATCTAATGAAGATGATAACTAATTTGAAGTCCGGAATGCTCAATTTAGAGCTCTTCTTTCTAACGTATATAACAGTTATATACCAAGGCTTATTGTCTGTTTAAAAAACCACAATTCTAGACTAAATGTATTAACAACTGTTTATCTTTCTGTTCTTGGTTACAGTAGGATATGGTTCCCTTCCATTTTATGCAAACAGGATATCAGATTATCCAGGAACAAGTTACAAAGAAGGGAAATGGTTCCAGTACACGTCTTTGGAAGTTACCTTGTGGACCCTGAGAATGTGTTACAGGTGTGCCAAGATCCCTCAGCCCTTGTTAGCTGGTGCCTGAGTGGGGTCTTAGGTGACTAGAGTGCCTGGGCAGACAAGAGCAGCTCTGTCTTCTCTTTAGAGTGTGTTACGTAAACATGAAATCGAGGGTGTGCTGTGACGTGAGGAAAGTAGAAGCTCACCTGCCTGCTGCACTCACGTAATAAGCGAGAGGGAGCATTTGCTACTCCGTGTCTACTGCCTCCCTGTCCTTCAGCCTCAGGTTACAGAAATAAATAAGTTAATTAATCCCAAGTGGGGAGAGAGCGTTTGAAGAGTATTGAAGGGAGAGGAAGGAATGGTTGGAACCTGTTCAGTCAGGAACAGATGAGTAGGTCAAGCCTTATTCACTTTTAAGGAGGAAGGGATTCCTAAAGGACAAACCGCACTTGCTCTTCAGGGCGTTACAGTGAAACGTTCTTAAATCCTGAATATCACACATTGCTGGGAGGAGTGTCCTGCCCTTTGGGAAAAATAGCAAGAACTTCAAGCTCCCTCTAGAGGCCAGCGGTGATAAAAGAGCGTCATAGTGGTCTGTAGGGAAATGATTGTACCTAAAGCTAAGCTACCTTTCAGCAAGAAACTATCGTTTTATAGATGTATTATCCAGTAAAATGTTTTCTAGTATTGGGAAGAAATTGGTACCTTTGAAAAGAAATTTGGGTTAATCATATTCTAATTAGCTATGGGGGACCAATTGTAAAGTTCATTTACTGTGTAGAAATACAGCTGAGAAGATCATGAAGATGGGTCATGTAACCTAACAAAATAGTATAATCTAACCATTGGAACAAACCAGATCAAGATGAGAACCTGATTTCTGTGCTGTTTTGGGCCAGAATGTTTTGACAGTAGACCCTTGAATTGAACAGAGGTAAAGGTGATCTGTAGTACCAGCTGTGTTCTCACCTACTCCTCCCCTTCATCTGAACAAAACCAGTGAGTACCAAAAGATTAATATTAGGAAATGCAAGATGCAGGCATATGTTAAAACCTCTGAGTAAGCTGACATATACAGTTTCTTAACTTTTTTAGAGCCTCAGTTTACCAAATGATTCCTCTATTATTGCAGGATAGACATTTTAGTCATAACCATGTATGTCAAGGAGTTAGTTATGGATTTAACCCTTTGTTGTATTTAGTCCTTTTGTTCTCAATATATTTATACTTCTTTATAGAACTCACTGAGAGAGTTCAATTCTAAAAACTTAGTATGAACTATAGAATGACAGAGAAGTGATTTTGTGGTAATATTAATATGTAAGAGTTGCATTCCCGGCAGAAATATGTGAAAGTAATTGCCCAATACCTGCACTAAGTATTGCCTCTTTCTAAAAAATCTTAATCATTGCAGTGGTGTGTAGTGGCATATCATTTTTCCACCTCGTAGAAATCCATCTATTATCAAAGTTTTCCATGGTTGCTTTTATGCATATGACTATCACATATCTGTTACCTGGTTTCTCTTTCCGAGTTCTGGTAACTATTCCGTAATTCCTTGATTGTTTTATTTAATTTATACAAACGGGATCAAACGTGCTTTGTAACTTTTTAAAAACTCGGTGATACATCGTGGACTGTGTTCTTAGAGATCTGTTATTTTTTTTGTACTAGGCATGTGCAGGCACACATGGCCGGACAGCAGAGGAATATTTACTAAAATAATAGTGGTTCCCTCAGAAGTGGGGCTAAGAGTGATGATTATCCTTTTTCTACAAAGTAGTTTGTGAGATTAAAAAATGAAGTTAATTTTAATTAAAAACCTATGTTACGATAATCTCATTACTACAAGTGATCTTTAAAAATCATATTGTATATAAACACATCTGATACATAATTTGCAATTTGCATGAGTCTGCTAAATGACTCTTCCAGTGGTGGGATTTCAGGGTTTCTTACAGTTTATTTTTTGTGAGTTGGTTAGTTTATAGTGATCATCGTATCATTTTTTATGAACGTAATGCTATCTTAAATATTTACATATTTAGATTCCTATAAAACTTTTTAAATTACCTTTATTGCTGTACTAATTTTAAGGTTACTGAGTAGTTGATTTAATCATTGGCTGTTAATCTTTAGCTATTTTATTGTGGTTAGACAGTATGGTGTTTATAATTTGATTTCTTAGAGTTTCTCTGTGACTCGGTGTATGTATTTAATTGCATACCTTTTTAGAAGAAGTATATACTTTTAAGTTGGTATAAGTTTCCTGTGTGTGTATTTGTCAGTTATATTTTTTAGGTGTTTATCCCTTCTCCCTCCCAGCTCCCATCCCTGTTCCTATCCTGTCTTCTACTACATTTTTATCAGCTCCTTATTCCTAGTAACCCTGAAATTGTAAAGTTAAAATCTGCGTTGGGCATTGGGCATAAAAATTTATGACTGTTGCATTTTCACCATACCTTTTATCTACCTACCTACATAATATAAAACCCCTTTTCCTGTTTAATTCTTTTTTAAAAAATTGGACCAGACACTAGGGACATCATCTGTATCTATTAGGCATGGGCCAAGTATGCTAGCTATTTGGCAGTTTGCAGGACAGTTTTGAACAAGAAAAATTGTTCCATGGTCTGCATAGCTTAGAATATACTGCCAAATATTCATGATGCTGGAAAAAAGCTTGGTTTTTTTCGGGGGATAGAGGCCACAACTTTTTGTACCAAGGGTTACTATGTAAATCAAGGGAAAGTTATACTTTGAAGTTTTGGGATTTTTTAAAAGAATTCTTCAAATTTTGCAAAATCACATCACTACTGCAATGCTGCTAATGGATTTTGAGTTGTGGGTGCTATATAACCGAGTAAGTCTACATTTATCACTGAACCCTTCGTGTTAAGTACTCTGCATACAGTGTCATCATGTCTTGAGTATTTGCATTTAGTCATCATATTTTCAAGTAGTCCCGCCCTGCCCGTTCCCAGGACTGCAGTGATAGTTACGTTAGAACACTTGATGTTATCCCACAAGTTAGGTCCTGGTTACTTTTTCCTCCCTCTCTTTGCTTTATTTTGTTTTGATTATAGGGTAGTTCTTCAACTTCTTGATACTTTCCACTACAGTATTTAATCTGTTAGTCCTAGCCAATGTATCTTTCACTTCAAATAATGTTTTTTATTTTTAGTCACATTTTTGTCTTTCGTTTTTTATTTCTCATCATGTTGATTTATTCTTTTTTCTTTTTTTGAGACCTAGTCTGGTTCTGTCACCCAGGCTGGAGTGCAGTGGCACAATCTTGGCTTACTACAACTTCCTCCTCCCGGGTTCAAGCGACCCTCCCACGTTCAGGCAATCCTCCCACCTCAGCCTCCTGATTAGCTGGGATTACAGGAGCACACTACTGCGTCTGGCTAATTTTTTTTTTTTTTTTTTAGTAGAGACAGGGTTTCACCACGTTGGCCAGGCTGCTGGTCTCAAACTCTTGACTTCAAGTGATCCACTCACCTCAATGCTGGGACTGCTGGCGTGAGCCACCGTGCCTGGCCGATGATTTATTCTTGATCATACGGAGCATATTTACAAAAGCTGTTTTTGGTCCGTGTCTGCTAGGGAGCTTAATTCTTTCATTTTTGTCACTTCTGGCTCTGTTTCCATTGGTTTTTCTTCTGATTATGGGTTGTATTTTCCTGCTTGTTTATATTCCTGGTAATTTCAGATTGGAAACCAGACAGTGTGAATTTACGTTGTAGAGTGTTGGATTTTGTTCTGGCACATAGTTAAGATACTTGGGATAGATTTGATCCTTTCCAAGAATCAAATGTTTGTTTTTAAATGTTGTTAGGACAAGTTTAGTCTTTAGTGCTGATTCAGCCTGATTACTAAGGTGTGACACTCCTGAGAACTCTACCTGCTGGTGGGGATTTCTCTTCTATGGCTGGTGGGGACCCTAATTTTTCAGAGCCCTCGTATGTCACTTCATAGATGCCCAGATCAGTATTCAGCCAAAGATTCTAAGTGAGCTGCCTGTAGATGCCTTTTTTGGGGTACTCTGCCTTTATCTTTTAGCTGCTTTAACTTTCTGGCCTCTGGATTCCTCATAACTCTCACCATGCTGTCTTGGTCCTTCCAGTCAGTAAGCAAGAGCTATACAGGGATCACTTTCTTTTCCTTTTCTAAGAGTTAACAGTTCTCCACCCCACACATCATCATTGTCCATTGTCTGAAAACCAGTTTCATATACTCTTTTCAGTTTTCTAGTCTTTCACAGCAGGACAATAAATTCAGGTTATCTTAACTCCTTCGTGGCCAGAAACAAGACCAGTTACCAGATTTTTAATTTTTGATTTTTGTCTTTAACCTCCTGAAAGTAGTAGTAGTAAAAATTACACTTTTTTATTGGGTACTTTTTCTGAGTACCTTTGTTTATATAGTCTTAGTGTTCTTTGTTAATTTTTGTCTTTTTACTGAAATATAACAAAAAGTAGAGGAGACTGATTACCTCGTAGAGCTTTATGGGAAGTCAGATGTTATTTGTGGAAAGAGAAGATACATTATAGCCAACTTGATAAGAGCATTTTCTTCCAGGTATGAACATTTAATTTCTTACTAGAATACTACATTGGCAGCCCCGTTTGTTTGCAGATACTTGCTCTTTACACAAATGCAGCACTTTGTGACTGTATTTGGAATACAGAATTTTAAGAGATAGTGGTTACTCATAGAATTTTCGCAAACCTCATCGTTATCTTAAGATTTATGCTATTTTGTGTTGTATTAAACAGGTATTTCTGGATTTTCAGTGTTCCTTATTTGCTACAGCAATGTTTAGAGTGTTTTATGAGTTTTAACCTTTTAAATTGTTACTGTTTCACTGTAAAGCCTAATCATATTGAGGGAAATAACAGAATAGGGTTTGTCAGCATCTTAAGGAATGGAGCCTAGATCAGCTGTTTCAAATGGCGCTTTCGGGAATCTGTAAATCTATAAATCAGATGGTTAAAAATACTTAAACAGGTCAGACGCAGTGGCTCATGCCTGTAGTC